CAGCTTTCTATCCCTGCTACACCTTCCTCTCTCTGCCTCACAGCTTTATCAGTGATCAGTGTACAGGAACTAATATGATTAAATTAAAGTCATTAGTAATACACTGCATCAAAACCCAAGCATTCCAAGTAACAAAAGCTACCGTTCCATGTATATATAAGGCAAGGCCATTTTCTGTGAATTCGTCTTCCACACTTAATCAAGCTTGAGTTTCTTGGCCTTTATATCAAGAGGCATCAAATCTGTAGGATGAGCTGCAGGATGATTTTCAAAAACCCGAATGAGTTCTGTGGTTTCTGTGGTTAGGTCAGCATTGCACGTGGTCTCTCCTGCAGTGAGAGATGCGTCTAATTTCTGTTTGCATCAGGTGCAGAGTGAATGGCTCTTAAAAGAAAACTTTAAAGTGAAACGCGCTCCCAGGAAACACTGTGTGTGCAATAAGTACTGGTCTGGGAGGCAGCAGGAACAAGGGTGTGTGACAGCCGGATGGCGAACTCTGACCTCGATGAACTCCTGGCGCATTCCCTCGGCTCTCTCCAGCTCCGCCTTGATGACCTTAATGAACTGGGCCGTCCTGTCCTCCGCGCGGACGTGTCCAAACCCTGCCTCCTCCAGGAACTGATGTCACAGGGGACAAAAACCACGCGCGTGAACAACTGCCTCAACAAGGACCATTGCTCTGTCCATCTGGAGCTCTTTTTCAGAACACCGTTGGAAGTAGCCGTTAATGTGTTCCAAAATGGTTAGATCTCCTATACTTGGACAAGGGAAACGAGGAAATTCAGAAGTGTTTCAGCCTTCTGCCTACCTCGAGCCAAATCATCAAGCTCCATAATGCCTGACAGGAGAGTTAGTGCTGACTGGCTGAGCCAATCACTGAGCTCCATAATGCCTGACAGGAGAGTTAGTACTGACTGGCTGAGCCAATCAACGAGCTCCATAATGCCCGACAGGAGAGTTAGTGCTGATTGGAAGAGCAGCATGGCTCTCGGTGATGTCACATACAGCAGGCGAACTGCCAGTCACCACAAGCCGAGACAGACTGAGCGATGCTCAGACTTAGCGAATGACGCAACGTTAAGTCGGTTTCGACACAAAAGGACACTCTGCCCAAGTGTCCAGAAAAATCCGTACACAACACCAGCCGGAAACAAGATGTTCCCCAAACCCACATAATATTCCACTACTTCACTTAGCTACAAAACAGCGGGCTCCTACCTCAGAGAAATCCTAGGGTGCAAACATGCAAGAATATTGTCCATTGCAAGGTTTTACCATGGTAAACCACAGTTTATCCCAGGGGGGAAAACACAGGCCAAGCAGGAATTGAGCCCTGGTAAGTTACCGTCTTTTCCCTGAGGAATGGAGGTTTACCTTTCCGTAGCGCTGGGGTGTGTAGAGTGTGTAGCCCCGTTGGCAGACGTACGCCTCAAACTGGGGCGACCAGGGCTTCTCCCCGCAGCAGTAGTCGCTGATCAGCAGCTTCCCTCCCGGTTTCAGCCACGACTGTGCAGACGAACCCCCCCCCCC